CATTGCAGTGGGGTGCAAATTAAGGCTCTAAGGAACACAGTGATCTATTCTTGCTTGCACACAAACACATGTTCCTTACATTGCAGTGGGGTGCCAAGGCTCTAAAGAACATGCTCATCGTTCCGCCGGGCTCCGGCATCGTTCACCAGGTCAACCTCGAGTACCTGGCGCGCGTCGTCTTCAACGTCGACGGCCTCCTCTATCCGGACAGCCTCGTCGGAACCGACTCACACACTACCATGATCAACGGCCTGGGCGTGGTCGGATGGGGTATGTAGCGTGGGTAACACACTACCATGATCAACGGCCTGGGCGTAGCAAGGCGACTTGTGAGTGCGTCGTGTGTATTTGCTGGTTTATCCTCATTTGCAGCTCTTGTTATGCGTACTGATTACAAATCGATAAAAAAACATCGTAAGTTAAGATATGAATGGTATATATATGCATTTCTATATATCTTCCATCTTGCGTGAAAGAAATCGTTCGAGGAGGCTGGGAGTGCAATGTGTGTCATTTAATTGAGCAGGTGTTGGAGGCATAGAGGCAGAGGCTGTGATGCTTGGGCAATCCATCTCCATGGTTGTGCCCAAAGTTGTAGGCTACAAGCTGGTTGGCAAGCTAGGTCGCCTGACAACCTCAACTGATGCTGTGCTCACAATTACCAAGGTGAGTGAGTCTCAAGTGCAAGTGTGCTTAAGGCTCAAATTTCATCGTGATGATCTCCTTTTTGTCGTAGTACAGCAATAGTGCAAGTTTTGGGAGGATAATATCCATGGTAGTAAACGAATGTCATTGGTCTACCTAGTTTGCTACAGTGTCTTTCCCATAGGTTCCATGTAGTGGGTGTATTCCTTTTTGTCCCCCATAAAATTATTAAAAAGTAGTTGGATTAATAACCAATCTTTACCCTACCTTTTATGTTTACCCTGGTAGGCAACACTAGCCTTGCCCTAACAAATTTCAAATGTTTCGCAATCTTTTATGTAGCACATATCAGTTGTAGTGCATAGGCATACATCGTTGTAGCTTGCGTAGACGTAGTAGCTAAACCGACACGGTACCATACCACGGCTGTTTTCTAGCATCTGCGTTCGATCGGCGTCATGGGGAAATTCGTTCTTTTATGTAGAAATTGTCAGTTGTAGTGCATTGTCAATACTTTTGCTCAGCTTACGTAGACGTAGTAGCTAACCACACCACGGCTGTCTTCCAGCATCTGCGTTCGATCGGCGTCGTGGGGAAATTCGTCGAGTTCTTCGGGCCGGGCGTGGTGCAGCTCTCCATCGCCGACCGCGCGACCATCTCCAACATGTGTCCTGAGTACGGCGCCACCGTAGCTTTCTTCCCTGTCGACGAGGAGAGCATTGTCTACCTGCAGCAGACAGGTGAGCTGGTGGCTTCCCCAGCGTGCTAACGAAGGCTGGTTAGGGTATATACAGGAACGAGTTAGTGACTCCCTAGCGCTCTAGACAATTTTCGTCACACGTTGTAGCGATCGGTGATAGCTAATGAAGGCTGGTAATTGTACGGGAGCGACTTGGGTATCTAACATTAAGTCCTAAAGCTAGCGACAACCTAGCTTTTCCTCACACGTCGTAGCGATCGGCGACGTTTGTCAGATTATCCTCTAGCATGTCTGCTGTACCAAAGAGTGACTGTTGCCAATGGTCGCGATCGTTGAAGGCTGGTTATGATAATATCCACCAGCTAGTGAAGGCTGGTTAGGGTATATACAGGAACGAGTTAGTCCCTAGCGATCGGCAACGTCTGTCGGATCGTCTGACAGTGAGATCGACGTTGTTTTATTTCAAGGTCGTGACGACGCCAAGCTGTTATTTATTGAGGCGTATCTGAGAGCCAACCGTCTATTCAGGAACTACAACAACCCTGAAGAAGATCCCACCTTCTCTGAGGTAACTCACACAGCCTCTGTCTGGGAACCTTTTGTGTCAGATCATGCTGACCGGTATTTATGATGATACATTATTGATACATGAACCTCTCTTCAGTACTGTCATGCGTGTTTTTTTGTTTAGTAAAGCTGGATGATCATAAGTCGTAAGTTTGTTATTCTTGAATGACATCACGGCCTCATATGGTTGGTTACCAGTGGTAACGTTTAATGAGAAATTAGTGGTTTACCACAAACGGCTTTTTCACTTTTTTCTGTGCTGTAATGCTCGATACTCGTGAATAATAATGAGCTTGGTAATCATGAATGGCATTGCATTGACATTTGCAGGTTGTAGAGTTGGATCTGAGCACGGTGGCTCCATGCTGTAGTGGGCCTAAGCGACCGCACGATCGCGTACTAGTGTCTGACATGAAGCAGGATTTCCAGGCCTGTCTGCCCGCGAAGGTATGCTTTCTAACGAACAGAGCTGTGATTGCCCAATTAAACCAACAATTGGCCGTTAAAGCTGGAGTTAATTTGACTGTATTTAGGGGTTTTACAATGATATTCATATTGTACAGTACTTTAGTACGTTAGTTTTTGTAACCCATGTGTGCACAGTGTTACATGTTAAAGGATATTTTGTTTATAGCAATAGGGGCCGCAGAGTCGGGCAAGCTCACCCAGTTTGTACATCCACGTATTTTTCCATTTCATTGCGTCACTTCATTACTAAGCATTATTTTCGGAGTGTCCACTTGCAATGTTGATTGACTATAACACCTTGTCAATTGGCGTATTCCGTAATGAATCGCGACTAAGTCTAACGGCGATTCCGTCGCGCACGGCGGTTTTTTCGCACGCAGGTCAGTTTCAAGGGCTTCGGCATTGCGGAGGAGCAGCTCGCTCGGACGGTGCCGTTTGTCATCGACCAGCAGGAGTACACGCTGAAGCACGGCTCCGTCGTGATCGCCGCCATCACCAGCTGCACGAACACGAGCAACCCCAGCGTGATGCTAGGTGCAGGTGAGTGACACGGAGAGAGAGAGAGAGAGCACGACTAACATCGTTGACAGCATCGTACGTAACCTGTACGAGAGATGTATGAGGCTTAGACTGTCTCTACGGGATGCATATCCTCTCTACTACTCAATGTAGCTTCAATGAGCACAAACACTAGCAACATCAGCGTGATACTGGGTGCAGGTCAGCGACACGTAGAGTAGTCAAGCCTGTACGTAAGATATGTGAAGTGGAGGCTTGAACTGTCTCACCGGGATGCGTAATCCATTCTACTACCCAATGTAGCTTCAATGAGCTTATATTATCACTCTCACTCTCACTAGTATATTTGAGGTTTAAGGTAAACGATGAACAACGGGGTTACCCTGTCTCTATGACTCAGTCGAGCGAAGTGCCAATAGTGTCTTTTATAGATCGTCGTTCATTCTATAGAGGTTGTTTTAGTGTATAACTACTACTATAGCAGCTATAGATGCTTTTGAAAGTAAACTTTATTGCCTTATCCTAATTTTAATCATTACATATGTTTATTAAAGGTCTACTGGCTAAGAAAGCGATTGAGCGGGGTCTTTCCGTGCCACCTTACATCAAAACTAGTCTTTCTCCTGGCAGTGGAGTAGTCACTTGTTACTTACAGGTATTTACATTTTTTTTAATGTAATACAATATTTGTTGTAAGACACAATGAGGTAAAGTCGTACGTCAAGAAAATGTTAGTGTAGCATATGCGATGTGCCGAGTAGCTTGTTGCGAGTAGCTCCTGTTTTAAAGTGAAGCTGTTGTGTTGTGCATGACAGTCTAGCAATGTAATACAATACCTGGAGAAGTTGGGATTCGACGTTGTTGGCTATGGTTGCATGACCTGCATCGGAAACAGCGGCCCCTTACCGGACCCTGTCGCCGAGGCCATCGAAAAGGTAGGGCTTACATAGACTAGACTCACAGTTGCTAACCGTTGCTATGATATACATATAAGCTGTGTAAATATATATATATATATATATATTGCACAATACTTCTAAATCATTGCCGTGTAGTTGTTAATTGTGTATACAATTGTGTAATAGTCATCGTCGGGTATTTGTGCAGTTGTAAAGGTAAAAATGTGGCAGAGCGACCGACGCCTGTGTGACATCTTCGACTCTATACTGCAACCTATACCTTGTTTACAGGGCGACCTGGTGGCATGTGGAGTCCTCTCTGGCAATCGTAACTTTGAGGGTCGCATCCATCCACAGACGAGGGCCAACTATCTGGCGTCGCCGCTGCTGGTGATCGCGTACGCTCTCACTGGCACCGTCTGCATTGACTTTGAGAAGGAGCCCCTCGGTGAGGTGTAGTTGTGTTAGTGGAAGGATCGTGCAAGCGCACATAGACACACACGTCATAGATATACACTACACATAGGTAGAAGGGCAGGCAAATGGACGCAGATTCATATATTATGTACCCAAATTCACGCGTGCAGCACAACTTTACACACAGATAAGAAATGCAGGGAAAGTTACACAGATGCATACATAATGTACACAAATACACAAATACGGAACTGTATATCTAGGTAGAATTGTAAGCACGGGCGCAAATGCTTACTCATCGTGTGCCGAATACAGGAAAACAACACATGCAAAAAACACAAGACGACGTGTTAAAACACATGTAAAGTAATTAGTTTTTTAATAGCTGATGCTTCCTGTTGACTATTTGACTCGGTTCGTATTCGTTATCTAATTGCCTCGATAATTAGCTCGGATTTCTAAGCCTGTGTTCTTGTCGTGCCTGCAGGTGTGGACCAGGACGGTAAGGAAGTGTTCCTGTGGGACATCTGGCCGACCAGGCAGGAGATCCAGGTCGTGGAGCGCGAGGCAGTCGTGCCGGCCATGTTCAAGGACGTCTACGCAAAGATAACCGTACGTAATCCACCGATGAAGATGTTTGCGGGTGATCTGTTATCGGCACCATTCCGTGCGACTCGTTGCAGGACAAGATTTCTGTATCTGTCTGTGAGAACCTTCACGGAGAAATTACGCAATTTTATTTTATTATTAGTATTCCCGTTGCACCTGTTTTCTTCTTCAGGAGGTGATGCCCTTACACCTCAGTTTATTCAGTGCTGTTATTCCTGCAGACGTGACGTGCCGTGTGAGAGACTGTTCGAGTCACGCGATGTGGTGGTGGTCGTGGTTTCACTTTCACTTGTTTTCGTTTGCAGGAGGGCAACACGCGCTGGAACTCTCTGGACGCACCAGAAGCTGAGCTCTACCCGTGGGACCCTAAGTCCACTTACATCAAATCTCCCCCATTCTTCGAGACGATGGTAAGTCTGTGGGCTAGCTGAGAGTGCTATATTGTCTGGTAACGATAATTACATCATAGTTGCATTGCATTCATCTTATCATATCAACATATTGTCATGTTATCTTTCCACATTGAAATATTGTTATGTCTCATTTTGTCATATTTTCACGTTATTACGTAGTCTCGTTGGAATTGTTCTATGATCCTGACACATTGTCACATTCACATATTGTCATAGTGATGATATTTTCACATTATTACGTAGTCTTGTTGGAATTGTTCTATGATGCTGACACCTTGTAACATATTGTCCCATCGTCACGTTGACGTATTGTCCCATCGTCACGTTGACGTATTGTCCCATCGTTGCGTTGACAGACGAAGGAGCTGCCGACGATGGAGGGCATCAGTGATGCGTACGTTCTGCTGAATCTTGGAGACTCAGTCACGACCGACCACATCAGTCCTGCTGGAAGCATCGCGCGTAACAGCCCCGCCGCTCGCTACCTCGCAGCGAGGGGGTAAGTCTGATGGTGTTTGGCACGGGTGCGTAGAGCACCGTGGGTGTTTCTCATCAGAAACATAAATACTTGTTGCTATCAAGTCTAACATATAAGTCTAAAATGTCACAACTTTTGCATGACACCTTTATTTCAGAATGATGAGGTCATCTAACTCTTTTTTTTGGGGGGGTGGGGGTTCTGTCAACAAGCCCTAGCTTGGTCTCCATGTTTCCTTGCTAGAGAAGGGAGTAGTGCATTGTACAAGCACCAGAAAACGTGGAAATTTGTGTTTAAAAATGCTGTTTTCTGTGTGTGTAACCATTTTTGCCACCTGTAAAAAGTAAATAATAATTTTACTATAAATTAATATTATTAATATTACATATTAATTAAAAATCGTTATAATAATAAATAATTTTAGGCTAATTAGGTGCCTCTCCAACTTGTGGAGCTGTGGTTGTATAAAATTTCCAATTAAACCGAAGAAAACACTTACAAAAGCACTAACAAATTTTAGCTCAAGCCCCTGATCCTCTCTGCTCTGTTCTCATTCGGCAGCTTGACGCCGAGGGAGTTTAACTCGTACGGCTCTCGGCGTGGCAACGATGCCGTCATGGCTCGCGGCACCTTCGCCAACATCCGCCTCGTTAACAAGTTCATGAGCAAGGCCGGACCACGCACGATCCATGTTCCCAGCGGAGACGAGGTACGGCTGTGTGTAGTCAGCATCTGTTGTCTTTAATTTTTTAACCCTTAAAAGCCTGAACGTAGACAAAGCCTGAATGAAAAATATGCCGCTTGGTGGAAAACTATCTAATCGTTCAAAAAATAGGAAAAACAGGTTTTTTTAAGTTTGAGGGAGGTGGGCCAAATTGGGGTTGGTACTTCATTCTTGGAACATGGGACCTACACAACTGTGTTGTATTGGTTTCGTAAACAGGATTGTTTCCCAGCAAGACTACTCGGGCACAATGTTACGCGGGTGAGGTTTTTTTGGCTGTAACTTCTTCAGAGGTGTTTTTACCCCTCTAGTAGGCTTATAGTATAGAATAGAAACATCAGGAGTAGATAAGTTTATCATTTTTGCACTGTTCTTTACCCAGATGGATATCTATGACGCAGCAGAGCGCTACCTGCGTGACGGCAAGAAGGTGATCATTCTCGCTGGCAAGGAATATGGCGCGGGTTCGTCGCGGGACTGGGCAGCCAAGGGACCCTTCCTGCTGGTACGTGAACACCTGTTTACTCCCGGGTGATCGTGGTGTAAGGAACAGACGGGTGTAAGAGCTATATAATAGGCTGGTTGCTGTGTGACAGGGTTGGATGGTTGTGGTGTAGGTAACGTGTAACTTTTTCTCGTAGACCGTCGACAGAAACATCGTAAAACTACGAGAATTAAAAAAATCCTAGAAAATTTTCATCGTTCACTTTACGAAACAAAATTCTGTCAATGGTCTACGAGAGAAAAAGTTAATGCTAAGGCTAATGTTAAGACTATTTTGTTTCTGACAACAGGACCCAGGTTGGTAGTGGTATAGAGAACAGACAGCTACATGCGCGCTTGCTGTGTTAACTTTTAATGTTAATATTAACTTCTCGTAGACCGTTAACAGAAACGACAAAAATTCCAGCAAATTTCCATCGTTCGCTTTACGAAACGAAATTCTTGCTGTTGTCGTGTTGGCAGGGAGTGAAGGCGGTCATTGCCGAGAGCTACGAACGCATCCACCGCAGCAACCTGGTCGGCATGGGCATCGTGCCGCTGCAGTATCGCGACGGCGATACTGCCGACACACTCGCGCTGACGGGCAAGGAAACCTACACCATCGACATTCCCGACGACCTCCGCCCCGGACAGCTACTCAACGTCAAGGTTCGTCGGAAAAATGTTTCGCGGCGTCGGTGCCCTCGTACCGTCAGGGGTTAATAATGAGGAATGACTTATTAACCCCTCGTACCATGAAACCACGCTGATAGAAACGTTGGAACTCGCTGCCGTCTTGGCCATTTTTGATCTGTTTCGTCTTGGATGTGTTGTGTTGCACTATGTGTGCACTAGGGTGATTGGGATGTAGAACCAGCACAGATGAACTCTTGAGCTTACGTGGTGCCGAAATCTCAGCTGCTGCTTCATTCATGCTTCTGGGGTGACGACCCTACTGCTGCTTTATCTTGCTCGACTGTTACTGATTGCTTGACCCGGGTTCAAAATTGATATTTTCTACATTTTTACTCAATTCGCCTGCGGAGACATTGGAGAAATTTATTATGGATTTTCCATATTATTATACACCCAGATTTTATTTGCTTGCTAAAGTGGAGTAGATAAACATGCAGTTGGGCAAACATATTACGTACTGCCTAGCTTGAGTGCATGCGTTGTACTATCAGGTCAGTGTGGCTGATAAATACAGAGGTTAATGTAATCACACATGTTTCCCTAATCTAGCATTTGTCGGGCTTTTCAACACCGAGAGAGGAAAGCGTGATGCTCGCCTGTCTGATTGCACTTGTGTCTGTTTTCTATCTATCGTTTAGTATTTCTCTCGAGTGCAGCACACCTTATCCGTTGCGGTGCTTATGCCAATCGTCTTCACATCCTGTGATTCTTTTTCGTTTTTGTTTTTTCTTCTTATCGTGAATGTAATTGCTAGTTGATATTTGGCTAAATTCTCTCAAATTGGTGCCTAGTGTCAGAGTACTAAATACAGCACTTCCATTTCATTTGCTATATGTTTTAGCCCACCCCTGTTTTCACATTAGCTGACATTTTTGATCATCTGGCCACCTGTAGGTCCCATTTAGGTCCGATAATCGAGACTCAACTGTGTCTTGAAATTCTTTCATGTGTTAGTAGTTAGTACGTAAGTCTCTAACCTTCATGCCAGCAAAAAGTACCTTATGTATAAGTATGATAAAATTATCATTTATTCTGTGTGATAAAATGAAATCCAATGACATTATTCCCTAACTGTGTAGAGTGTAGCATTAAGTAACACGTGTGCATTTTATCTTTCAGCTTTCGGACGGACGTAGCTTCGAGGCTGTCAGCCGCTTCGACACGGACGTGGAACTCGCTTACTTCCGCAACGGTGGAATACTCAACTACATGATACGCCACATGCTGTAGATGCATCGCCATCAGTGGCCGGTCGCAGACGAGATGCAGATGTCGTGTTACCCGTTCTGTCTGCAACTGACCTGTCACCTCCACGTTACCTAGGTGCAAGCACGCGACCTTGGTCCGTACCTGCAACCGTGGTGCATGCCCATGGCCTCGATGTGTAGCGATGAGTGTGGGTGGTGCGACATCTCTACTCGTCTGCGACTGGCAGACGAAGCTGGGCTGGTGGGCAGGCGCTTGCTTGCATGTCGCGACGATCTTAATCTAATGAATGTTTACTCGGTGTCCTAATCGCAGGTAGAGCCGTAGCAGTGTATGATATATAGTGTGGCGCTTCTAATGTTGAGCGCGTGCGTAGGCGTGTGTCCCCATTGCTCGCTGCTTCCGTACTTACATCGTCGCAACATGTAACTTTGCCATGTGTGTAGTTGTTACGTAGATGACAGCACATATATGCATGTGGCTGCCCCCTGATGTTGCATTTAGAGATGTTTTGAAAGACGTGTAACGTTTTTGGTGTAAGCTTCGTGAATGACCTCCGTTTATTACATCCTGCCGAGATCGTGGCTGTGTTCGAACATCGTAGGGTCGCATTTTATTTTAATGTCGGCGAAGTTTGAAACATAACGTGTTTTGTGTGAATAGCAAGCTTCCGCAGCTTTCAATAGCGAATTTTAGTGTGCCACAGCTTTCCCACAGTAGGGCGCTTATATCCGATTTTATGTCATGAATCTAAGCAGAATTAATCTTTTTTTATCAGTCCAAAACTATCTGTTCAGACATGCAATCAATTTCTCCCAGCGTCGTAAAAAACGTGTTTTTTGCTGAGTATTGCATTTTCCCTGCTTGGCCGTTTGGGCTATATCTATAATTTGGGTTTTCCACTGACACCCTTAATTCTACCCGTGCCAGCCATGTTAGCGGCAGCAGCGGCGGCGGCAGCAGCAGCGTGGCTGCTCTATCTGCACTCTGACATCGCACTGCTGTCCGGAGGTCGTTCGTTTGCTCGCCTCATGGTTAGATGGCGCCACCTCCCAAGCTGCGGTGATGGGCAGACGACTCGCCGGCCTCGAGGGATCTGACCCCTCGACCGGCGTCGGTTGAGATACGTCTGTCCGGGTGTCTCGGTAGAAGGTTTCCGCACGCATTATGAGGTGTAATCAGCGGAGGACGGAGCAACGGTTGCTTGGGCGGCGGCGCATGCATCCTGTAGGTACGCGCGTGCACGCGACTCGCACGTGCGCGCAACTTAGAATGTGTGGTCTAGAGTTTAAACTTGGTAGTCGACTCTGTCTCGTCGCTAATCTGTATATTGTGCTCCCGATAGGACTCGTCTGTGGTTTGATTTGTGGGGTGCGTGCGTGCGTGGTGTGAAGTCTCTTTCTCCCTGAGAGGAGAGCCAGTATGCACGAAAATAATTCTTCTCTAAAGCTCACAAGCGGGCGTTGCTGTCAACTGTTTTGGCGAGGTGTATGTATTCTGCTCGTTCATCAAAATCTCGTGGGTTATGTATGACATGCGATCCCACGAAGGTGGCAGTGCCAGGGTGTGGTGCGTGAACCAGGGTGACGGACCTAACCTATTAGGATAGGATTCGAGGGCAAACGTTTTCGCAGTTCGCTGGTGTGTAGCAATGGTGTTGCCGGAGCTTGTGAATATGTGGTGCAAGACTATGGGCTGAGGGTTTAACTGATAAGACGCCTCTCAGATAGATATTTAATCGTGTACTAGGTAAGTGTGCGAATTGTAGCTGATCACCATTATAATTGCTATTATATATGGTCTAGGTCAGGCTGATATTGTTGACGGTAATGTTGGTGATGTTTTTGCTGTTATTGTTGTTGTTGTTGTTTAGACAACAGGTAAATGATTAAAAATTAGGTAAAATAGAGTAAATTAATGAGAATAAATAAATCATGAGGCAAATTAAGTCAGCTTGTGTGTTTGTTTTTAGTAATTGAGAAATGATACAATTGCGGCTGTTTTCACGACAACGGTGGCATAGTTATGTCGACCAACAAAACCAATGTTGCTCGAGACAAGTCGAAGCTTCTATTAATTTTCTAGGAATGCCTTTTGTGTTGTGCAAATTCGGAAGTAAATAATACTAGGGGAGTATGACTATCAGCAGTGGCGTAGCCAGCAATTGGAAACAGGGGGGGCCAAGGCGAGGGAGAGAAGCGACCGAGGGGGTAGGGTGTGGGAGGGGTATCCCCCC